GCGGGGCCCCGCCGCCAGCCCCCGGCGCAGCCTCCAGGCCCGCCGCACTGGGCGCGTCGCGCACCGTCGCCCCCGCCCGCGCGGCGCGCGGCCGGGTCGGGCCCGGACTCGGCCAATTCCCGCGCGGGCGGGGCCCCGCCGCCAGCCTCCGGCGCAGCCTCCACGCCGCACTGGGCGCGTCGCGCACCCCTTCCAGCGCCGTCGCCCCCGCCCGCGCGGCGCGTGGCCGAGTCGGGCCCGGACTCGGCCAATTCCCGCGCGCGCGGGGCCTCGCCGCCAGCCTCCGGCGCAGCCTCCAACCGCACTGGGCGCGTCCCACAGCGCCTCCTCGCCCGCAGCGCCGCCTGCACCGCGCCCCGCAACGCCGTCGGCGCCACCGCGGCCGGCCATCGCCGCCTCGCCTCCCGCGCCGCCGCGGCCAGGGTCACTGCCAGCGGGCGCCGCAGTAGCCGCAGGCCCGGCCGGGCCACCCGGCGCCGCGCCGTCGCCTCCGGCGCCACCGAGCTCAGCGCCTCCCAGCGCCTCGAACGCGGCCACGAGCGCGGCCACGCTCGCGGCGCCGCCCGCAGCGCCCGCGGCGCCGCCCGGGCCAGCAAGCGCCGCTCCGCCTCCCGCGCCTCCCAAGCCAGGGGCGCCCACAAGCCCCGCGGCAGCGTTTGGGCTAGCCTCCCTGGCCCGCGCCGCGTCGTCTCTAACCCGCCAGGGGCATCCACCCCACCCGAGCCAGCAAGGCCATCCGCGGCAACCGGGCCGCCAGGCCACGCCGCCTGCGCTTCGCCAGCCCCCGCCCCGCCAGCGAGCCCCAGCTCCGGCAACCGGCGATCGCGGGCCGCCGGGGGGACGTCCACGACGCCACCTGGGTGGGCCGACGGCAAGCAGGCCGACACCATGGCAGCCGCCCGGCGCCAGAGCTGGACGCCCACCAATGCCTTGGCCCGACGGGCCAGGACACCTGGCGCGGCCACGCCGCGGCGGCGCGAGGCAGCCGCTGCCATGGGCCCCACGGCGGCAGTCGCATCGCTGCGCGGCCGGCCCCAGCAGCTCCAGATCAGAGGCCAGTACTCGATGCCCTCGTCCGCGAGCTCTGGGAGCACGTGGGCGCACTTGCCCCGCTTCTCTGCCACCATGGCGGCGCAAGCGCCCGCCCCGCTGCCCGACGAGTCAGGGCAAGCCACGCCCACATCCAAGGCCGCCAGGCGGGCAAAAGCCGCCGAAGTTAAAACGTCAGCAGGGCGGAGTGCGACGGGACTAAGCCCGGAACCTCGACGGCGGCGGCGTTGTCAGACAGGCTGGCAAGTCCGAGGAGAGAATCGCGGACCTTGTTGTGACCACGGGTGATCGCCCCTGGTGCACACCGCAACGCATGGCGGCACTCACGGTCGAGCTCGCCCCCGCAGCATGCGCACGTGGCTGGCGCTTCCAGGACGGGCGCCCCGAGCCGCAGGCGGACGGCCACGACGAACTCACCTGCCCGAACATGGTCCCCAGTGGCCGAACTGAGGACCCACATCCAGGAGTGGTCCGTGTCCGGGTCCCGGAGATCGTCGAGCAAGTGCAGCCCGGACCAATCCTCCTGGCGCTGGAGCTCGGCGTAGATGCCATCAAGGCGGACCCCCGCCACCAGGTCACTGAGGCGCGCCTGCAGGCCGCCCCGCGCCGCCGCGTCAGGGTGTTCCGGGTCCTCGATGCCGCTGTGGGCCACGATCCTGGCCTGGACGGTGGCGGCCAAATCTGGCGCTGGCCAGCGGGGCTGCAGGCGCCCTGTCAACTCCCCTGCGACGCGGGCGGCCTCTGCAGCGCCCTCCGCAAGGACCTGCGCTGCGAAGCCCCGCCGGTCCGCCGGGAGCTGCGCGAGCCACGACTGCTCCGCGGCAGAAGTGGAAGCATCCTACTCCGCGAAGAGGACCTCGCGCCACTGGGCTGGCATCGCGCTGCAAAGCTCCTCGGCCAGCGGCCGCGCCTCCGCGCGGCTGGCCAGGAACGCGGGGAGGCTGGCGTCAGCCGCGCGGCGGAGGCCGAGGCCGCCGCCCCTGGCACCGCAAGCCGCCCGCTCCAGGCACGCCGATGGGAGCTGCCCCCAGAGCAGCGCCGAAAGCGCGAGCCCCCGGCGCTCATCGAAGTCAACGAGAGCCGCCTCTGGGATCTCGGGGCCAGCAGCCCGCAGCAAGCGCACGACGCGGCAGACGTTCGTGCTCATGCGGAGGAGGGCGAGCTCAGCTGGGGCGTCCTCCAGGAGCTCCAGCGCGCTGCAGGCGGCCGCCGTCGCCTCCACGGTGCCGCGGAACTGCCCCTCCAGATCGCCGCCCGCAATGCGGACCCCGAGCACTTTCCCAGAAGGGCCGGGCGGCTCCACCCGGCACGTCGCCGACGCAATCCCCGCGCACCACTCGGGCGACACCGCCGCGCAGGCCTCCGGGGCGCCCAGCAGCCGCGCCGTGCTTTTGAACGTGACCCCGGCAACCGGGCTGCCGCCAGCGACCATGAGCTCCGCGTCGAACGCCTCAAGGTACGCCCCCGCAAATTGGGCGCCCGAGTTATCCGGGATAACTCGGGCCCGGGGTAACTCGGGTTTGGATTCCCGAAAAAGGAACCCGAGTTATCCCTGACCCGAATTACCCCTGATGATTCGGGGCTCTTGGACGCCCGATTTATCCGGGGTAACTCGGGCCCGGGGCAACTCGGGCTTGGATTCCCGAGAAACGAACCCGTGTTATCCCTGACCCGAGTTACCCCTGATGATTCGGGGCTCTGAGCAAACTCTGGCGGCAAAAACACCTGGCCATCGTCCATGAACCAGGCGCCCCAGACCCACCCCCCTCGGGCCTCCACCGCGTGGCGGCCTGCAGCAGCGCAAGCGATCAGCGCCAAGGCACACTGCGCAGGTCCCAGGGGGGCCCCCTGCTCGGCACCGCGGTCGACCCCCACCCAATCCCCGCTCGGCAGTTGGACGTCGGCCGACGCGCGGTGGCACCAAGCCGTCCAGCGGACCCACTCCGGCGCCCACTCGTGCACGCCGGAGCGCAATGCGGGCCACTCCAGGGAGGGGAACGCGTTGCGAAGGTCCAGGTCCAGGCCCGCGATGGCGGGGAGCGCCGAGCCGCCCGCCGCCCGCTCCAAGCAGCGCCGGAGGTGCACCAGCGCGTCGGCACCGCCCGGCAGAGCCACTCCGCATTGCCGCTGCTGCACGAAGATCTTCTGGAGTCGCTCCCGGCTGCCAGCCATGAGGCGTTTGGCGATCAGCCGCCGCCAAACCTCGCCCACTCGGATGGGCCGCGGGGTGTCGGCGTCAGGCTTCTGGAGGAACACCGCGCGCGACTGGGGGACCCAGCGCGCCGAGGGCGGGAGCGACCCCTCCCCCGCGACGCGGACCAACCCAGCCACTGCGCGGAGGAGCCTCGACGTGACGGCCCGACGCCGCGCCAGGAGCGCCTCGTTGAGGTGCTCAGGCAGGCGCCTCACGCGGGGCCGAGGAGAGGCCTAGGGCTCCGCCAGGCCCCCTGCGGGCGGTTGCCGGCAGCTTGGTCTGGCAACCCAGCGGCGGGCGGGCGCGCGGCCGCGCCCGCGGAGCGCCCAGCGGTGCGCCCCGCAGCCCCAACGGCCTGGCGGGGACGGTCGCCAGAGCCGCTGCCTGGCGGCCCATTGCTGGGCAAGCCCGGCAAGGCACTACAGGCCCCGAGCCGCCGCGTGCGCCGCGACAGTGCCGGCAGGCAGCACCCTCGTCAGCGCGTCGCGCCGCGTGACGCCGCCGGCGGCCGCCAGCAGGTCCAGCGCCGAGTCGCCGTCGTCGTTGAGCCGCTGCAAGATGATGCGCCGGGGGCCTGGGGCCGTCCCAGCGAGCTCGGCGCGGACCGCCTGGTGCCACGGCGGCATCACAGGCAGCTCTGGAGGCCCAGCTGCGCCGGCCGCGCCGACCGCGCTGACCACGCGGCTGCAGGCGGCCGCCAACTCGGTGGCCCGGCGCAGCGCCTGCTCGAAGTAGAGCCCGAACATGAGCCCGCAGAGGATTCCAACGAGGTACCACCCCCAGGCCAAGGCCAGCGGCCCGAACCCCGGGGTGCACTGCACCGTCGGCGACTGCCAGCCTCCGCACTCGGCGGCGGCGTGCGCGATGAGGACGGACTGCGCCGCCGCCTGCAGCCGCCGCCCCAGCCCAGTGCCCTCCCCAGAGCCGGCCGTCGAAGAGGCTGCTGGGTTGGCCCCCGCCGCTGCTGCTGCTGCTGCTGCAGCTGCTGCTGCCCCCCCGGGCGCCGCAGCAGGCCGGGGCTCCCCCCGAGAGGAGGTCGCGCACCTCCGCCAGACCCCGGATGGCGGGGGCCAGTTTTTCGGCCCCCGCTGGGATCCCACCCCCAAGGCACCCCCTGCGGCGTCGAGGGAATGCCACGCCTGCCACGCCCTGGGAGCCTGCAGCGCATAGGGCCCCCACCCCAAGCGCACCCCCTGTGGCGTCGAGGGATGCCACGCCTGCCACGCCCTGGGAGCCTGCAGCGCATAGGGCCCCCACTCCCAGCGCACCCCCTGTGGCGTCGAGGAAATGCCACGATTGCCACGCCCTGAAAGCCTGCAACGCATAGGGCCCCCACCCCCAGCGCACCCCCTGTGGCGTCGAGGAAATGCCGCGCCTGCCACGCCCTGGGAGCCTGCAGCGCACAGGGCCCCCACCCCCAGCGCACCCCCTGTGGCGTCGAGGGAATGCCACGCCTGCCACGCCCTGGGAGCCTGCAACGCATAGGGACCCCACCCCCAGCGCACCCCCTTTGGCGTTGACGGAATGCCACGCCTGCCACGCTCTGAAAGCCTGCAACGCATCGGGCCCCCACCCCAAGCGCACCCCCTGTGGCGTCGAGGAAATGCCACGCCTTCCACGCCCTGGGAGCCTGCAGCGCATAGGGCCCGCACCCCCAGCGCACCCCCTGTGGCTAAGAGGAAATGCCACGCCTGCCACGCCCTGGGAGCCTGAAACGCATAGGGCCCCCACCCACTACGGGCAATGCTGCGTGATCAAGGTATGTGTATGTTTGTGTCTGTGTGTATGTGTGCGGTGTGTATATGTGTTGTGAATGTGTGTGTGTGCTGTCACAAGCACCCCTGTGTGCGGCCGCGGTGAAGGACCACCCCCTGCGCACCCCCTAAGCTGAGCTGTGCTGTGCTGAACTGGGCTAAACTGGGCTGAGCTCTGCTGTGCTGTGCTGAGCTGTGCTGTGCTGCGCTGTGCTGTGCTGAGATGAGCTAAGCTGTGCTGACCTGTGCTGTGCTGTGCTGTGCTGAGCTTAGCTGAGATGTGCTGAGCAGCGCTGTGAGGAGGAGGGGAAGAGTGAGGTGTGAGGGTGAGTGTCGCGGGTGCGGCGCGGCAGAGAAGAAAACCAGAACCCCACGAAGCATGTGGGGAATTATCCTGGCGAAGGACCCAACCATATGCAGTTGTGAGCACCGCAATTGTGAATATCTTTTTCGATGGCGCCCCCTATGGGGCCACGAACCGTATGCAGGTGCACCGAATTGTGCGGCGTAGCCTCTGCAGCGGGCTTCCCTGGGAACCCCGACGGCAGCGCCCGCGCGCCGCGACGCCCACGTCGGCACGCCCCACTGGGAGACGGCCGGGGCGACGGCCGGGTCGACGCTGACCGAGTTCCCCCCAATGGCCACCTTATGGATCGCTGCTGGCTGAGACCGTCGTGGCGACGACGGGCCTCCGAAGGCCAGAAAGCTTCGAGCCTCGATCCTCGAGGTTCGCACTTCAAACATCGACATGAACCTTCGAAAATGCCGAAGCACCCCCGTTAGCCTTTCCAAGCGAGAACGCCTTCGGTGGAGCCTCTATGGGGCCACGAAACGTGCGAGGGGTGTGCCGAAATGAGTGTGCGGGACGCATGCGGGCACACCCACTGGGACCTTCGGTGGAGCTCCCTATGGGGCCACGAAACGTGCGAAGGGTGTGCCGAAATGGGTGCGCGGGACGCATGCAGGCGCACCTGGCACCTTCGGTGGAGCTCCGTATGGGGCCACGAAACGCGTGAGGAGTGTGCCGAAATGGGTGTGCGGGACGCATGCGGGCACACCCACTGGGACCTTCGGTGGAGCTCCCTATGGGACCACGAAATGTGTGAGGGGTGTGCCGAAATTGGTGTGCGGGACGCATGCGGGCACACCCACTGGGGCCTTCGGTAGAGCTCCCTATGGGGCCACGAAACGTGCGAGGGGTGTGCCGAAATGGGTGCGCGGGACGCATGCGGGCACACCCACCGGGACCTTCGGTGGAGCTCCCCATGGGGCCACGAAACGTGCGAGGGGTGTCCCGAAATGGGCGTGCGGGACGCATGCGGGCACACCCACTGGGACCTTCGGTGGAGCTCCCTATGGGGCCACGAAACGTGTGAGGGGTGTGCCGAAATGGGTGTGCGGGGCGCATGCGGGCACGCCCACTGGGACCTTCGGTGGAGCTCCCTATGGGGCCACGAAAGGTGCGAGGGGTGTGCCGAAGTGGGCGTGCGGGACGCATGCGGGCACACCCACTGGGACCTTCGGTGGAGCTCCCTATGGGACAACGAAACGCGCGAGGTGTCTGCCGAAATGGGTGTGCGGGACGCATGCGGGCACACCCACTGGGACCTTCGGTGGAGTTCCCTATGGGGCCACGAAACGTGCGAGGGGTGTGCCGAAATGGGCGTGCGGGACGCATGCGGGCACACCCACTGGGACCTTCGGTGGAGCCCCCTATGGGACCACGAAACGTGCGAGGGGTGCGCCGAAATGGGCGTGCGGGACGCATGAGGGCACACCCGCTGGGACCTTCGGTGGAGCTCCCTATGGGGCCACGAAACGTGCGAGGGGTGCGCCGAAATGGGCGTGCGGCGATGACGGTGATGATGACGACGATGATGATGATGACGATGATGATGGTAGGAGGAGGGAGAAGGGAGGAGGGGGGGAGGTGAGGAGAGGAGAGGAGAGGAGAGAGGAGAGGAGAGGAGAGGAGAGGAGAGGAGAGGAGAGAGAGGAGAGGAGAGGAGGAGAGGAGGAGAGGAGAGAGGAGAGGAGAGGAGAGGAGAGAGAGGAGAGGAGAGGAGAGGAGAGGAGGAGAGGAGAGGAGAGAGAGGAGAGGAGAGAGGCGAGGAGAGGAGAGGAGAGGAGAACGCGGGGCGACGTCTCTTCAAAACGAGGACCCAACACCACAGGATGGTTGGGAAAAACATACAAGAAACGATGCTTACCTATTAATTGAACAACCTGCCTACTATTTTTCCCTATTAATAAAGGCCCTGCTCGGGGCCGTCTCGTCATATGCCCCGGGATTACAACCCTGCGGGGCCGCGAAACGTGCGAGGGGTGCGCCGAGGTGAGAGTGGAACTGCATGCGCACCCTGCCACTGACGCCTTCGGTTGAGCCCCTTATGGGGCCACGAACCGCGCGAGGGGCGCGCCGACATGAGAGCGGAACTGCACGCGAACCCTGCCGCCCAGGCCTTCGGCGCCCCCCAGGGGGCCACGAACAGTGTGAGAGGG